TAAATCTTCATGATGTGAGATATTAGAAGGTTGGATCTCATAAAATTGGCAACTTTATGGATCCATGTGATCATTCTAGTGTTATATGTTCCAGATCTAATGATATGTAGTTTTTGGTTCCATGCTCAATTTTAAGTCCTATTGCCACATTTTTGACCTAAACATTGAAGGGACATTCATGTCCATAAAGCTATAATTTTTAGGGATTCTTAAGAGTAAGAAACCCTTCTGGAAACTTTGGATGATCAACTCTACTGATTGGGTGCTTAATGAGTGTCTTGATGCATTTAGTCATCCTTCAGGAATTAGGGTTTATGATCCTGACTTATTGAAAAGTCTTAATGTATAAAGTTGGAAACTTTATCCATTAAGACCAGGGGAAGGACCAGATTTGGGCTTTGGAGCTCTGAAAGTTGTGGGAAAATGGCTTAATGGATTAAGTTATCCATACCAGTCCCCACGGCCTGGCCTTAGGTTACCACGACGTGCCGACTGGGAAGAAACTCCTATGAGTTGTCGTATAGCAGCCACAGCGTAGCCAAGGATGGCCACGATGTGGAAATCAGTTGGAAGTTGACTTTTGACTGTTGACTTTCACCAAGTTTGACTTTAAGTCATTTAGGGAATTTTGAGTAGTAGAATGAGGCTTAGTCCCTATGTGTTGTACAGGTGACCCGTAGAGCCGGTATTTTGAGCATCATTCAGTTCAGCTATCTTTCGGACATTGAGGTGAGTTTTCCTCAATGTACTTGTGGGTCGAAGGCACCAATGACAGACCACTAGGTTATGTATCATGGTATATAGGATGATGTTATGTTGGTTATATGTTAGACTGGTAGATTTGTATGATTACCTGTACTTGCTGGTTATTGATTATTATTGCATATGTTGACTTTTTATTGTTTTGATGGGTTGAGGCGGTCCTGCTTTATGTAGAAGGCCAACATACCCGGGTGGACCAGTTGAAGCTATAGGCCCAAGGGAGCGGTCCAGCTTATAGCTGGAGGCTTGGTGGTGGCCCAACCTAGTGTTGTAGGTCTGATTTGTGTGCAGTGTATTATGATGTTGTGTGGGCTACCTTGTGGAACTCACTAAGCTTTGGCTTACAGTTTGATGTTTTGGTTTTAGGTACTTCAAAAGACAGGGGCAAGGCAAAGGCTTGATTGTGCACATCATCTTGGATTTTTATATGACTTATGATTTTGGGATACTTTGATTCATGTTTATAGTTTCGAGAAACTATGTTTTTATGTAACTTATGGATTTTGAAATGGTTTGAAAAATGAAAATTTTTGTCATGATTTTGAGATGTTACAAGTTGGTATCAGAGCCCTGGTTTGAGAGAATTTGATGAACACTTGTGTGAGTCCATACTCAAACTACGGATCTGTAAAATGTTTTCAAAATTTAGAACCAAAAGAACCGAAGGAAAGGATGTGATGTCTAAAATCAGCCGGAGCCAAGGAAATTAATTACCCAAGATACACATATTTGTTTTATGTATTGATAGGGAAATTCTTGCTAGTATGTAGGCTAAGGATCTTCGGGAATTGCATGATAGAATTGCCTGATGTATGATGCCTGATAGCCTAGGAGAATTTCTTGTTCATGGTTAGGTGAATAAAATTGCACAGTTGAGTCACGATCTCTTTCAGTCACAGCAGAAGGTATGACAGCCACATCCTCTTCAGAGATTAATATACTTTGTATAAAATCTTCAAACTCATTCTCTGTCAAATCCTTTTCTTGATCCTCTTCTTCTTCATTATCAGATACTTCAATCTCTTCAAATGCAAATTGAAATTTTGATTTAGGTGCCACGTGTTCCTCTGCAACCTCAGCATTAATGGAACTAGCAACAGCAGTGTTTTCAACTTCAGCAAACTTTCCAAACTTAACCAACTCCTTCAATACTTGATAGGCGACTTTGGCAGCTTTTCTTGATTGCTTCATGAGTCCAACGGTGTTGGGACCCTAAGCTTTCATGTCCAAAGTATCAGACGACCTCTCAATTTGAGGGTATTTTTCATTCAGGATCATTTGAAGGGACCTAGGATACATCAAAAACAGGTCCTTCTTCTTCCTCTTGAGGTTGCTTTTCATTTCTTCAAAAACAAACTGTGAAAAGTTGTAATCCCAGTTCATTGCTAAAGCGACAATAACTGAGGTCGCATTCTAACTGATTTCATCAGATCCTCCCTTCCTTCCAGAAATGAAACTCACAAAATAGTGTGCCAGAAACCTCCAGTAAGGTGGCAGCATCTTCTTGATGGTGGGAGGTGTAGTTGCAATGAAATCGAGATTGAATATCTAGATTAGAGTAAAGTATGATTGATGAACACAAGAAGTAAATATAATCTGTTTGGCTCAAATTAGCTTTCAACGAGTACAGAGAGTTTAGACAAGTTTACACAAATGAGCAAAAGTGAAGTTCTTATCTACTCTAGTACACTTCCCTATTTATAGGAAAGATGAAAGCGAACAAAAAATACAAGGGACTAAAACACTAGACTTCGTACATTAAGATGCCCTTGTAATAAGTTTACAAACTAACGAAGCTATTAAAAAGATTCGACGCCTCACAACTAAATTTGACCTCTACATTCTCCCCCTTTGTGAGCAGTGATGAATCAAGTTATTAATATCTTCGCAGTTTGATGAATGACTCTTATGATCTCAGCATACCAATTCACAATCTTTCGAATCTCAGCCTTTTCTTTTTCATTGTTCTTGGTACAACTATTCATATGAACCGGAAGATTTGTGTAATGAGGTGTTGTATACCTCTCAACATCACACACAAGGAATAAAAATTTCGAATTGTTTCCCTTTTTGTTCTTTCCAACGAAACAATTCCCAAAGGCTTTAAGCAGATCTCTCCATCTTCGAAGTTTTTCAAACTTGCCTTATTCACATGAATAGTTTGAGAAATCGATATCTCTCTGTCCCAAGACTTAGCCAATTCGATATCTGTTAATGCCAAAGCTCCATAATATCCATCAATGAATGTTTTCAAATGAACATAACCATTCTTGAAGTCTTCTTTGCTTGTAACTTGAAGCTTCGAAACATCAACATTCTTCATGATCATGGTCACCACTATTAAATCATGTAGATTCATAGTAGGGAAGTCTGCAACCGAGAAGTCGAATTATACATTGTTTGCTCGAACTGCATAATAGCGATAATTCTGCAACATACCCTCGAACAAAACGTCTTTAGATATGCCAAGAACTCGAACTATTTTGACCAATGACCATACATCCTCGTCCTTCTTCCCAAGTACAGCATGAAAATGAAACTTAAGACGTTTGAATTCAGACTTATCCTTGTACCTGTCAGCAAGTTCGAACTGCTCATCCAGGAACATCATTCGATTTACTGGAAAATCTAGTTAATTTAGATTTGAGTTCACAGTATCGAAACTCCTTCTGGGAACCTTTTCAAATTCGTTCATAGCCCTTGTCACTGTCAATGCCTCGATATATTCATAGTGATATATCTTTGTTGGATCGCCTTTGTTCAGACTAGGAGGTTCATTTGCACGTTGCTTCAAAAGGCTTTGGATATGCCTTTGTTTTTCTATCTCTACTTCTTGAGCAACTTTAATTTCTTCTTTCGAAGGTTTAATGATGACCCCTTTGCCTTTGCCTTTATCAGCTTCAGTTGGCTTGGGCTTTGACGAACCTGATTCTCCACTAGCTGACCCAATAACTATGCCCTTTTCTATTGGTCTTCTTGTTGTTGTGGTTGATGTTGAAACAAGTGTTGTTGTTGATAAAGATGTTGGAATTTGATTGGTCAATACTCTTCCAACCACCTTGGCATCACCTTTGATATTTCCTGAACCACTTCCTCCAGCACTCACTTTCATACCAGTACCAGTGCCAACACCACCCTTTTCTCCTCCTTGCACCCCTGTGTTAACAGGCAGGGAATTTGTTGGCACAAAGTGAGGAAACTTTGCAAGTGGAGCCAATTCAAAATGAATTTAGGACTCTAACTTTTGAAAATTTTCAATTATCATTTCACGAGAAATAGATATAACCTTCGAAGATTCATTCTTTGCCATAAGATCTTTCAACGCTCCCAACAATTTTTCACATTCCCAAAACCCTTCACTGCATCATCTCCAATCTTATCAACTTTTGGAACAAGTGTTGTATGCCATTGCACAACTTTCATGATTGAATCAGCCAGTATATCCACCTTGTTATGAAGATTTGAATATCTATGACCCAACTCAACAACTTCCTTCGCCATATCATCACGAAGTTCTTGAATCTTGAGATTAACATTCTCACAAACAGTCTTGACTTCCTGAACGTAAATAGCATGTCACTCTTTGGTAACCACCTTTAATTCATTCAAAGCATCATTAAGGAGTCAGAATGAAGTTTGAGCTTAGATTCAAGATCTTTATGCATGTTTTCAACTTTACTTTGAATTCGGTGCTCCTGAGCATTGAGCATCACATCCACTTCGATTCCTGAGAGAGAGTGATGACTACCGGCATTGGCTTGAGACTGTAATAGGGAATTGAGTTTTCTATTCAAGATCTTAAACTGCTTCCCAGACATGATCATATGATATGGGATTTTCTCTTCCTCATAGTCAAACTCAATTTCAGCAAACGAACCCTGAAATTCTTCTTCATCAGATTCTGTGTCGTGAACTGGTGGTGTATTAGGATATTGGGACGGGAATAAAGTGATAAAGGGTTGTTGTAACACAATGTCGAATGTAGGTGAATGAGATGTAGGAACATGTGATGGATTGGGTACAATATATGGTGGTAACGAAACAGTAGTATCAAGAACTACTGTTTCAAAAGTAGACGATACAACAATGGAAGGATTACCTTGGGCTTCATGTGTCGAAACTCCATCAACCTTGTTGACATTTGCACCCGTACCATATACGTTTGCAGTGATGCCTGAGGTTCGAACCTCCGCATTAAATGACTCGGTATGCGAAACCTCGGGTGGTATGACGGTTGTCTACTTAGGAGTTGAAATCTTTGGTTGTTCACCTGGATTGATGGTTGTGTCTACTTTAGAAGTGGTCACATTGCCATCAAGATTTCCAGTCTCCTCGAAAGTCGACTTGACTGGAGAATCCCTCACACGTGAAGAATGGCCCAGTATAGTTGTTGTAGGCGGTGTATCAGGAACCACTTCATCATCACTTGAATCTTCATGTAGAACTAACTTTCGTTGTTTCTTTGGCCTCTTTTGTTTCTTCGAAATATGCTTGGCGACATCTTCAACATGTCTTTTCTTCGAAGTTGGAGACACAGGGGTAGGAATTGTTCGAATCACCATTCCTTTACTATTCAGTTGTGCCTTTCAAATAAATGAAGGAGAAAAACTAGATGATCTTTCAGGAGAATGACGAGAACGATGAGTCATTTTCTTGAGTCGTTTGAGAACACCAGTTTTCGAAGGTACCACATCCTTCAAAGGATTAACATCTTCAGTAGCAACTGCCTCCTTCTTCGAATCTTTATTCGAAGCTTTTACTTTAACAGTAACCTTCTTTGGAGAGTGATCTTCTTTTTCAACAACTTTCGAAGGGCTTGGCTCAGCTTCCTTCTTTGAACCCCTTTTCTTCTTCTTCGAAGAACCTTCAGTTGTATGATCTTACAATTTGCCTGTTCCAACAACAGGATTAATTGTAGTCAAGTATTGTACCAACACAGGATTGAGAGGATCAACTTTTCGCAGCATTGCATCAGGAATACGAGCAATATTTGGAAAAAGTTCTGCATCGTCTTCCACTATCTTTGGATAATGATAAGTTGCAAACTCTGCCAATTCATCAGTGTCAGAAATATGAATCCCTTCCTTTGTGTAAACAAACTCCAAGATCAAGCTCCAGTATCGAGCACACGAAATCCCATCAACTACATTCGTGTTCTCAATACTTTTGAGAAATTCCTTCCATAACTGAGTCGCGTAGTCCACCTGTAAATCGTAGTAGATTCCAGCAACCATTGCATACACCTCCAAACGACCTTTGTCTAACCCAACTGTTCTTCCAGTTAAACAACGAAGATACTCCAAACATAAAATTCCAAAGACATGGTAAACCAGACTTCTTGAAATCACTCAGCTTGGCCATAACAGGTTGATGCCCCATGTCATTAAACATGTGAATGATTTGGGCATTGTTAACCTTGTAAAAAGGTTCAGCATTGGGAATATTCAGTATTTGGGCAAAACATTTCTTGGATAACCTGAATTTCTTGTCATTCGTCTGTTGGAATGTAACAATTTGAATTGTTTTGCTGTAAGTTGCAGTTGAACCAGAAAATGACAACCAGGTAAGAGGAACTGCAAAAGAACGGAACATGGCAGATGATAAAATGGAATGTTGAAGAGCAACAATTAGCATTCGTAACTCCTCTGGATAAGCATCAACATCACCAAGAACTTGATAGTTGGTGCTTTGTATCTTCATGATTGGATTAGAAGTAATATCTTCAGTGGTTTGGGATTGATTGGTCGCCATTGTTAGGGTTTGGAAGTTCTTGAAGAAATCAGAGAGAATCCTTACATTTTTCTTTGCCTTTAGCCATTGAAGCGACATTATTGATAGACAACTGAGAAAAATCAATAAGTTCCTCCTCTTCAATTTCACTGATATTGTCCGAATCATCTTCAATATCAGTGTATTTGTTTTGAAGATCAGTTTTCGAATTCTCAGTTCTTTTCAAAATCTTAATTTGTTCGTCTTTGGTCAAGGTGTCATTTACAATATCAACTAATTCATTAGCATTTAAACATTCATCAATTTTTACTATTCCATATGCATATCTATTATCTGGAACTTTATCAAAATTAGCAATTGTTTGTTCACAATCATAGGAAATATAATCAATTCTATCCCTTTCGTATGCTAAAAAGGGCAAGAGTTTCCTATGTTGTTCTTTGCTAATGTCCGAAGAATGATGCAAATCTGTCAATTTTCCATACAATCTTTTTGCAGAGTTACAATAGATATTTCGTTGTTTTAACAAAAGCTTAACATTTGCATTAAGAATGTCCCTATCACACATCAAAATTGTGATTTGCATATCTAAGTATTTGATTTTTATTTTCTTCGAATCTAGCACCTTCTGGATTTCTAAAAGTTGAGTACTTGACTTCTTAGCCTCATTACTAGCAGAAATAAGTAAATCATTAACGTAAGTAACGGCTGCATCAAACTCAGACAAAATCGAATCATATGCACTTGAAGGAATATTAAAAGATTGTAAGAGATAACGTACCTGAGAATTCATTGGAGGTTTATGCAAAGATGTGGTCACAAAGCACTTCCCAGTAATCTTTTCTTCCTCTCCTTCCTCATGCACAACAAACATCGCCCCGTGTGTAGGGTTTCGCATCTCTTCATCGTCTAAAACTGACGACCAAATTTGATATGTGTCATCTTCTTCGTCTACTCCCTTGGCCACCAATGTCAAACCCTTTGCTTTTGCACGAACTTCTTCCAGCCTTTCCACGTAATATGCTTCATCTTTCACTTTGTTCTTCTTCTCATCACGCTTACGAAGCATGCAATCAGAGGCCATATGATTTGCACCATTACAATAATGACAATCAAATCCAGCATCGCCTTTAAGCTTTTTATCTTTATTTTCCTCTTTTTCATGAATTTCCTTCTTTTCTTCCTTTTTCTCATCACTTCCAGTTTTTCCAACAGCACTTCCTTTCACCTCACTATTTTTCGTCCTTGCATTGAATGTCTTCTAAAAGAATTTCTTTACTCGATTGTTAGAGTAAAATGCAACAACCTCATCATCGGAATTTACAATTAGACCCTCATCATCAGAAGCTTCCTTCTCAGTAGCTTCTCTCTCTGCTTCCCTTCCAGTTACTTTCGAAACTAAAGCTAGCAGACCTCCCAGACTAATCTTTGTTTCTTCAGCAATTTCATGAACTTCGGATTCATGAGTTTTCAACAGATTGTACAATTCATTCAAAGAAAAGTTATCAAAACTTTGTTGAGTCTTTACCATTAAGCTCACATTTCGTCATTCCTTGCGAAGTCCCATAACAAATGTCAGATTGAACTCCATAGTTGACCTGGTGATTCCATGTAAATTAGCTGATTCAGACGATCGTAGTACAATTCGATAGATTCACCATCTTTTTTTTCAATTCTCTTAATTCAACCAGACAATTTTTCACTGAATTGATTTTTGTCTTTTCATTCCCTTGAAACATTTCCTTCAAAGTGTTCCACATGTCTTTAGCAGTTTTACAACTACGAACGTAATTGTAAATTACAGGAGGTAGAGCACCTCTGAGTTCCCTCATGCATTTCTTCTCATTCTTCACCAATCTTTCAGCCATCTCTTGAACATTTTGATTATTGGAAGAAGTTCCAATATTCTGAACAGCAGGAGGTGGATAAACATCACCGGTAATACACTTCCATAACTCTTCATCGATTCCATTCAAGTAATCTTCCATCCGATCAGCCCACTGATCATAATACTCAGGTATCAGCATCGGAATTTTAGTCGATGAACCAAGGAGATGAGAATAGGACATCATCGTGTTCATGTTGAAGTTGTCCATTAATGTATGGACATAATTTGAGAAAACTTTGAATTTGAACAAAATTAAACAGATAAAACTCTTGATAATCACCAATCGAACACTCGAATTAGCAACTAGAATGTAGAATCGACTCACAACAGTAGATCTAGAATGAATTTTTGATGCAAAAGAGTGGAAAATTGAAATCTAGAATGAGACTCAAAACTTTCATGAAATTCAGAAAAACAGATCAATTCTGTATGAATCCTGATCTGATACCAAATGTAGTTGCAATGAAATAGAGATTGAATATCTAGATCAAAGTAAAGTATGATCGATGAACACAAGAAGTAAATATAATCTGTTTGGATCAAATTAGCTTTCAACGAGTACAGAGAGTTTAGACAAGTTTACACAAATAAGCAAAAGCGAAGTTCTTATCAACTCTAGTACACTTCCCTATTTATAGGAAAGATGAAAGCGAACAAAACATACAAGGGACTAAAACACTAGACTTCGTACATTAAGATGCCCTTGTAATAAGTTTACAAACTAACGAAACTATCAAAAAGATTCGACACCTCACGACTAAATTCGACCTCTATAGGAGGATAAGTTCCTTCATAGCACATCTTCTCAAGAACTTCCTTCACTTGATCAGAAGAGTACTCAATTGGAAATGCAGATGCATCACCAAATTCAAGCACCTCTCAGATAACTTGCTCAGAAATAATTACTTGAGTTCCCTTCACCATTGATTCAACAGTACCAGCTCCGTCGGCTCCCTGCTTGATGATTAAGGTATTTTTTCCAGAACTTAGTAATCAGGACTTTGTGGATGACTGGATTAGCACGGAGAGCATGAGGAATCCTGCAGTTGTTCAAACCCACCATCATGGATTTGAATTCTTGATGAGCAGCAGGTGGATCCATAAGATATCCAGCAACATTGTGAGAGTCTACAAATTTAATCTCCTCTGCCATTTATCTGCACCAAACTAGCCAAGTGAGAATTGATTTAAAAATAATTAAATTAAATCTAAAATTTGATTTTGGTTTATGTCAAAGATTTAATCGATTTCGGTCAAATTCAAAACTTCAGGCGTTTTTGGTTAATGTAACACCTCGTTTATTAAATAAATAAATAAATGAATAGTAGCCCTAAAATCAATAATTATATAGCAAGGTGTTGGTCTCGAGGAGCTAATTGTCACAATTTTAGAACTCAGGGATTAAAAGTGTAAGTTTCGGATTGGTTTCGTAAATAATTATGAAGGCAGGGACTACATGGTAAATTATTAGGACTTACTTTGAAGAGATTTTGGAGGCTTAGGGGTTGAATGGTAACATAAGGACTTCAATTGAAAACAATTTGTAGAAGGAGGGGCTGTTGGGTAAATTTCGGACTTAATTTGAAGGGATTTTAGATGGTTGGGGTTAAAACGGTAAATTGTGGATTTGTTTTGAAAGAAAAGGGAGACGGAGGGACCATTCTTGACATTATGGCATTAAGTTTCGTAGGGCTCGGGTATATAACCCATACAAACCCTAACCCTAAATAGAGGAACAACCGTCACCTCCCCCTTATGCCTCCCTCACCGGCCGCCACCCTACCCCCTTGTTTCTCCGACAACCAAGCCACCCTTGTGCCACTCCGCTGAAGACGTGAGCCCCCACCGCCAACCGTGGATGCCGGCGAGACTGTGCACTGCCGTAGCCTCCTTTTCCGACGACGACAAGGTCGCCGCCTGCTGCCTTGCGGAAGAGCGCCATCG